TAATGGGTCCTGACACATACTCTGGATTGGGCTTTGCATGGTCATTAGATACAAATGTCAAAAATACTATAAAATAACTGGAACAGATGATAAAACATCTATTTGGACCACCAAATTATATTTCTTCAGACCGAAGAACACACTTACAGCCCACAGTGTCTAATTATGGATATATCATGTTGCATATCGTCTTCATCTCCTAGGGCTACCATAACAAAGTGCCACAAACCACGCGGCTGACTTACAAAACAAAATGCACTGACTCACAGTTTGGAGACTAGAAGTCTGAGATCAAGGTCTCGGCAGGGCAGGCTTCTTCTGAGGGCTGTGAGAGAGAATCTAATCCACACTTCTCTCCTAGCTTCTGGTGGTTTGCTGGCAATCTTTGACATTCCTTGGCTTGTAGAATTCTCTCTTCATCTTAATATGGTATATTCCATGTGTTATCTCCATGTACAAATTTCCCCTTTTTGTAAAGACACAAATCATATTGGATTGGGGGCCCACCCTATTACATTACCTCATCTTAACTAATTACATTTACAACAACTCCATTTGCAAACAAGGTCACTTTCTGAGGTACTGGGGGTTCAGATTCCAGCATATAAATTTTTTTTAGAGTAACATATATCCCTTTTTCAGTTTTTATTGTTAAAACACACATAAAATTTACATCTTAATCATTTTATGTGTACAATTAAGTGGTATTAAATACATTAATGATGTTGTACAAGTATCCCCACAACCCATCTCCAAAACTCTCTTCATCTTGTAAAACTGAAATGATATTTATTACAAACTAGCGCTCCCGGCTCCCTCTTCCCAGCTCTTGGCAACCACCGTTCTACTTTCTGTCTGTGAAGCTGAATATTCTAGGCCCCTCAATAAAATGGAATCATGCAGTATTTGTTTTTTTGTGACTAACTTCACCCAGCATAATGTACTCAAGGTGCATCCATGTTATATCATATGTCAGAATGTTCTTCCTTTTTGAAGCTGAATAATATTTCATTGTATGTATATGTCAGATTTTGTTTATCCATTCATCCCTCAATGAACACTTAGATTATTTCCACTTTTGGCTATTGTGACTAATTCTGCTATCAAATGGGTGTATAGATATCTCTTTGAGACCCTACTTTTAATTATTTTGGTATTCCACCCAGAAGTGGAACTGCTGGATCACAGCACAATTCTGTTTGTAATTTCTTGAGGAATCACCATACTGTTTTCCATGCTGGCTGTCTGGATTCCTACCAACAGTGCACAAGGGCTCCAAACATGAGTTTTGTGGGGACATATTTCAAAACACAGCATTCACCAAAAGCTCAAGCAACAAAACAAAACAAATAGATCAACTGGATTTCATTAAAATTAAAAACTTTTGTTTCAAAGTTGATATGGTTTGGCAGTGTCTCCACCCAAATCTCATCTTGAATTTAACTCCCACAATTCTTATACGTTGTGGGAGGAACCCAGTGGGAAATGACTGAATTATGGGGACTGGTCTGTCGTGTGCTATTCTCATGATAGTGAATGAGTTTCATGAGATCTGACGGTTTTAAAAATGAGAGTTTCCCCACACAAGTTCTGTCTTTGCCTGCTGCCATCCATGTAAGATGTGACTTGCTCCTCCTTGCCTTTCATCTTCCACCATGATTGTGAGGCCTCCCCAGCTACATGGAACTGTGAGTCCAATAAACCTCCTTCTTTTGTAACTTGCCCAGTCTCAGGTATGTCTTTATCAGCAGCACAAAAACAGACTAATACAAAGGTTACATAAGAAAATAAGGACAACAACAGAATGGGAGAAAAATTTACAAGTCATATATCTGATAGGGAACAAATGTTCCAGACTATATAAACCACTAATAACTCAATAAAAAGACAACCCAGTTTAAAGATGGGCAAAGGATGAATAGACATTTCTTCAAAAAGATGAAAAATGGCCAATAAGCATATAAAAAGATGCTCAGTAACATTCATTACTAGGGAAATGCAAATCAAAACACAATGAGATACCACTTCACTCCACTCAGATAACTAAATTCCAAAGACAAACAATAAGAAGTGTCAGCAAGAATGGGAAACTGGACGAGAACCTTCATCCAATGCTGAGGGAATGTAAAATGTTATGTGTGTTTTGGAAAGCATGTTGGTAGTTTCTTAAAAAGTTAAAACAGAGTTATCATATGATCCAGTAATTCCACTCAAAGGTATATACTTAAAAGACATGAAACCACACAAAAACATATACATGAATGTTCACAGCAGCATTATTCATCATAGACAAAGTGGAAGCAAGATCACCAAAACCAGCCCTGCCTTGGACCCTGACAAAATTAAGTGGAAGCCTACAAAGCTGAGCCACATTTCCATGGGAGACATTTTGGTCATTCCAGGTGATGATGAACTATACCAATTGCTAATGGCTGAGAAGAACCTCAGGAATGTGCCAGCATCTTTTGACTTTTATTTTGGGGGGCTGCATCTACTATTACAATATGCAATATAGGTAACATATTGCATAGCTGGTTTGCTTTGATTATCTCATGCAAATAAGTCATATGATAATACTGATATTGATGATCAAATGAATTGGGAGACAGATTTGAAGCCTCCTCAGGATGTAATACCAATGTAAAATGACAGTCTTTAGAAGAACTAGATTTAGTTAACCGTCAGCTAATTTCCAGCTAAATAATTCTGCACAAGTTATATAAGGTACGAATAGCAGTAGATCACGGGGGAGGATGATATTGGGGACTCCTGTAATACATTGGAAACAACCCAGATATCCTCCAATGAATAAACGAATAGATGAAGTGTAGTATACATACATATGTACATAAAATGGGAGATTTTTTAGTCATAAACAGGCATGAAGTACTGATACAGGCTACGCAATGAATGAACCTCAAAAATATCCTGCTAAGTGAAAGAAGCCAGTCACAAAAGACCAAACATTGGATGACATATTTACATAAAATGTCCAGAATAGGCAAATACAGAGACAGAAAGATTAGTGTTGTCAGGGGTTGAGGGAAGGAGGAAATGAGGAGTGATTAAGTGAATTCATCCATGTTAACACCTTAAACTTTGGGCAACTGGCCAGTCATACAAACAGTGCGGTCTCATTCATGGGTTACATGAAAAAACAAAGAGCAAAATATCCATGGTATTTCTATCATGGATAGAAATATCACCATGTTGAAACCCCGTCTCTACTAAAAATACAAAAAATTAGCTGGGCATGGTGGCACGTGCCTGTAGTCCCAGCTGCTTGGGAGGCTGAGGCAGGAGAATTGCCTGAACCTGGGAGGCGGAGGTTGCGGTGAGCCGAGATCGCGCCATTGCACTCCAGCCTGGGTAACAAGAGTGAAACTCTGTCTCAAAAAAAAAAAAAAAAAAAAAAAGAAATATCACCATGTATGCTATGAAAAATATAAAACCTTTAAACAGACTATGTAACTTAATGAGCAGATTCAATATTATAAGGATGCCAATTCTCCTCCCATATAATGCATACATGTAATCCAAATGGCATTGTTATCTAGACAAGAAAAAATGATTCTAAAATTTATGTGAAATAATAAAGGTGTGAGAATTCCAAGCAAATTTTTTAAGTGGAAAATTATTACGGGAGAAAGGAGTGTGGAGACCTTGCTGTATGTGGTATTAATCAAAGACAGCTACCATCAATTCTTTCCCTTCCTCAACACACATTGCTTGTCAAGAGGTGAAGAATAACCCCCCTCCCATTGAATCTGGCAGGCTTGCGATTTGTTCGATCAATAGAATATGATACAAATTCCATTCTGGGAATTCTAGGATTCAATTTTTTTAAAAAGAAGGAAAGAAACTAAGCTTCTACGTGGGTCTCTTGGAAGTCTTGCTCCTGGGAAGCTCTTCCTCGAACCTAGTCACCATTCTCCAGGCAACCGCCAGAGTCAACTGCCAGCCATGTAAGTGAGTTTCAGATGACTGTGGCCCCAGCTAACATTTGACTACAGCACATGAGAGGACCCATGCAGAACCACCTAGAACTATGGAGAGCAGTGACCCCACAGAACATGAGATGTGACAGTAAGTTAAGTTTAGGAGTTGTTAATTATGCAGAAATAAGTAAACAGAGTATTCCACCGGGTATTAAAGATTATTACAAGGACTCTGTAATTAAAACAATACAGCAGACAAGGGTAGACTACAAGATCAATGGTGACCACAGGGATTTGTCATAGATCTCATCACTTAGAAACCCTACAGCGGTTTCTCTGGTTACCTTCCAGTCACCTTCTACACCTTGGCTCCTTTTAGCACTCCTCCCTAGCTTATCACTACATGAAATTGCTTTATCTCTTTGTATTGTCTGTCACCTGCCACCATAATGTAAATTCCTAGACCTCCACAGCATCCAAAGCTCTAGAACAGTTCTTAGCACACAGCAGTTCTTAATAAATATTTTCAAAAAGAAAAAGAAGATACTTCAATATCTCACTTTACTAATGAAGTGGAGCTACCATATGGCTGCCTGAACAAATACAGCTTGACATTCACTTTCTTGCTAGTGACTGAAGTGTATTAACTTGTGTAATCATACAACTACCCTATGGGGCAGGTGCCCGTATTTCCCCATGTAGCAGGTGAGGAAACTGAGGCAAACAAGGGCCAAGTATCCTGGCCAAGGTCACACAGCTATCAAATGCCAGAGCCAGGACTCAGATCTAAACAGGTCTGGCTCCAGAGCCCCAGATCTAACCTCTTAACCTTTCTGCTATACTGAGCTAAACCTTCACCACCTATCATATGGAAAAAGAAATTCAATAGAAAGTTATATGGAAAAAATACAACTCTATGTTAATATTAGAAAATCCATAATAACATGTAAAATGAGGAGGCCTCCTCAAGCCTCACTATACAGGTAGATCCATTGAAAAAAATAAAACTTAACAAAATTTTGCATGTCAAAATATGCAATATTTGAAAATCAAGGGCTAATATTTTTAAATAATCAAAGGTTTATTAATACTCCATGACAAACAGGAAGTGAGGAAATGGGCAACTGACACACATCAATAATTAACTGTGAGGACATGGGTGACAGAGTCTCTTCTAATCCTGTATTCTTGGAGATGTGGATGCCTGCCATTCGCCTGTGGGAAGAACAGAGAAGGTCATGGAAAACAGCATTTAATCTAGAAAGGGCCACAATAAGGTCAAAGGACAGTCTCAGGGTAGTCTTAAGAACTCCGCATCCCCAAAGAACTGGCAAGGACTCTCCAAGTGCTCTAAGCGACTCCTGCCCCACTCCCATCACGAACTAGGAAGACCTGTTATTTTCTGAAATTTTCATGACTTATAAGACACTAGTTATTGGGGGAAAACTTCAAATTATTTAAATAATGAGAGGCAAATAACATCACTAAACTCATGAATATTCTGTATTTATAACCTCCACTGGCGATCAGGGCACACAGAATCTCTGCTACTGATCCCTGACGCTGACCATCCCCCCAACCCCTCGGCCTACGGACCCCAGCCCTGACCCCACCTCTTCCCAGCATCTGACACAAGGATTCTCACCACACTCCCCAGAGACTTGCCTGCCGAGGGCCCCTCTCCAACCCCACATAGCTCAGGTCCCTGATCCAGAGGCACCATAATCTGCCTACTATCTATTTCCAGATTAGATTCCCTGATCTCAGAGGTATTGTCTAAAACAATTCGCCCTTACAACTACGTCCACTTCAGGAACCGCCCTGTGACGTCAGAACTGTGAGGCCGCACGGCCATGACTGCACATGCTCAGTGAGGCCGGTGCCGGCCATACGAACATGGCTCCCTGAAGCCGCTCAGGCCCAACAACAACATGGCAGCCTGCACTTCATCGCTCCTCTCTGGGGGCGGCCATACTAAGGAGGCGTCTCCTCCGTGCAGGCAGGCTGTTTTCGGGACTTCAGAGATGCTCTCCAGCTGCTGCGGAAAATGAGCGACGGGTGGATTCGGGTCCAGATTCCGGCAGGAGGGAATTTGGGATCGAGATCTGGAAAAAAGTACTAGACTGGAAGAGGACGGGATTGAGTCGGAGCTGATGGCGGGGACAAAGACCGGGGGTTGGGGAAGGTGCCGGCGGGAGCCAAGGCGCCGGTGGACTTGGCCCGCGCGCGCATCGCAGCGGTCTCCGCACACAGTAGTGGCCACCGCTGCAGGTGCCCAAGCCCGGGGTCGCTCGCCCTGAGTCTCGGTTTCCTCATCTGTACGGTTGGGACAAGAACAGTAACCCTGGCCAGTGAAGACGGGCCAGGGCTATCGCGAGGGTCCACGCCTTAGAGCAGGCCCCTGTCATGTGCGGGGCCCTAAGATGGTGTCTGACTCAGTTCCTAGGGGGAACTTCACCAGTGACCAAGTCAGTGCCCTTTAGTTAAACACCACCAGGAGCACACTTGTAATTAAATATAATTACACATTGCAGCATGGAATGGGGTGCTGTGGGTCATCTCAGTGGGAGGAGTTAGAAACTATTATAGGATTTGGGCTTTGATTGGTTAATTTCTAGTAGGGTCTCAGAAAGTGAGGACTTTGGATGCTGTCAGAAAGCAAGGGCAATATGATTGATGATTAAGTATTTTGTGGGTGGCATCAAGACCTTGTTCTTTATCTGCACTCACACCACATTATCAAGTGCCTTTGTTTTTGTTTGCACTTATCATGGTCTCAGTTTAACCTTCTGAAGTTGATATTCTTCTGTGAGATTGTTTATGTCCAACAGGAAAACAAAATGGCCTGGCCATGAGCATCAGACCAGCATTTAATAACATTCAGACCTAACTGTGATGCAAATATTGACAGAATTAAAGTTAGAAATAGTTCTACAGTAATAGAGACTTCAATACTCCATTAAAAATAATGCATAGAAGCTGGACTTTGTGGCTCACCCCCTTTCATCTCAACTACCTGGGAGACTGCGGCAGGCAGGCTGCTTGAGGCCAGGAGTTCAAGTCCAGCCTGGCCCGCATAGCGAAATTCCCATCTCTAAAAACAAAAATAAAGTAATGGATAGAAAAACCAAACAGATTGGGAGCCTGAGGTGAGTTAAAGCACAAGGTCAGGAGATCGAGACCATCCTGGCCAACATCATGAAACCCCATCTCTACTAAAAATACAAAAATTAGCTCCCGTAGTATTCAGGAGGCTGAGGCAGGGGAATTCCTTGAGCCCGGGAGGCAGGGGTTGCAGTGAGCCGAGATCAAGCCCCTGCATTCCAGCCTGGGCAACAGAACAAGACTCTGTCTCAAAAAAAAAAAAAAAAAAAAAAGGAGAAGAAAAGAAAAGCTAAACAGAATATCAGTAAGGAAATAGATGACTTGAACAATACTATAAATAAACTGGACCTAAAGACACATATAGTATACTCCATAAGGGCTGTATATGAAAACCCCACAGCTAACAAAGGTGGCATGGTTTTCCACTAAGATCAGGAACAAGATAAGACCCAGCACTTCTATTCATCATAGTAACGGAAGTTCTAGCTAGGGCATTTCTGTATACTAAGAATGAATAGCCAAGAATGAAATTAAGAAAATAATTCTACCCATAATAGCATCAAAAATAATTTAATACCTAGAAATAAATTTAACCAAGGAGGTGAAAGAGATGTAAACTGAAAACTACAAAACATTGTTGAAAGAAATTAAAGACACACATTAAAAGATAGCCTGTTTTCATGAATTACAATATTTAATATTGTTAAGATAAAACTACTACCCAAAGCAATCTGCAGGTTCAGTGCAATCCCTGTTTAAATTCTAATGATGTTTATTGCAGAAATTGAAAAATTTATCCTTAAATTTATATGGAGTCTTAAGAAAGTCCAAATAGCCTAAACAATCTGGAATAAAAAGAATAAAGTTGGACTCATGCTTCTTGATTTCAAAACTTTCTTTAAGGCTATAACAATCAAAACAGTGTGGCATAAAGACAGATATATATATATAATCCCAACACTTTGAGAAGCCGAGGCAGGCAGATTACTTAAGGTTGGGAGTTCAAGATCAGCCTGGCCAAGATGGTGAAACCCCATCTCTACTAAAAATACAAAAGTTAGCTGGGCATGGTGGCATGCGCCTCTAGTCTCAGCTGCTTGGGAGGCTGAGGCAGAAGAATCGCTTGAACCTAGGAGGTGGAAGTGAGCCAAGATCACGCCACTGCATTCCAGCCTGGATGATAGAGTGAGACTCCATCTCAAAAGAAAAGAAAAGAAAGGCCGGGCGCGGTGGCTCAAGCCTGTAATCCCAGTACTTAGGGAGGCCGAGGCGGGTGGATCACGAGGTCAAGAGATCGAAACCATCCTGGTCAACATGGTGAAACCCCGTCTCTACTAAAAATACAAAAAATTAGCTGGGCATGGTGGCGCGTGCCTGTAATCCCAGCTACTCAGGAGGCTGAGGCAGGAGAATTGCCTGAACCCAGGAGGCGGAGGTTGCGGTGAGCCGAGATCGCGCCATTGCACTCCAGCCTGGGTAACAAGAGTGAAACTCCGTCTCAAAAAAAAAAAAATAAAAAAAAAAAAAAAAATAAAAAAAAAAAAAAAAGAAAAGAAAAGAAAAAAGGAAGACAGACATAAGACAGACATATAGATCAAAAGAATAGAATAGAGAGCCCAGAAATAAACCCTTGTACATATATTCAAATGATTTTCAACCAGGGTGCCAAGACTATGTGGAAAGGACATCTTTTCAACAAATAGTATTGGGAAAGATGGGCACAGTGTATCCACATGGAAAGAGTGAGGTTGGGCTCTTATTTATATATATACGCACATATATATACATATATATTATACTATATATGCACATATATATACTATGTATAGTGTGCATATGTATAGTATATATATATGTATATATGTATACTATATATATATAGTGTATATATACACATCCATATATATGTATAGTATGTGTATATATGTATATTATATATACTATACATATGTGTATATATAGTATAA